TTGAGAATGAATCTTTATCAAATAACATGATACAAGTATAAAATATTTCAATAAAATTAGGGCCGCATCGATCGATTGGCCCGGGATGAGAATCGGCGGCGATTTTGCTGAATTTTGGAGGATTTGGCGATTGGCCGTTTGTGTCCGCTGATCTCATCTCACCTCTGCAGAGGTCTGAAAAAGTCAACCACTGCTGCTCTGAGATGACAAATATTTCATATTTATTTGGAGAACTACTTCATGTGCAATTCAGACAACCCAACGGCATCGTTTCATTGGTGTTTGACAATAAAACGAGATTGGAAAATTGAAGTAAACTGTTGGTTATGAAAAAAAAAATTGGGATTGACTGGGCAAGATTTTTAAAGTCACAAGACTTGCTGCTTGCTAAACTTCTTAGATATGTGCCACGGGTGTCAAACTCAAGGCCCGGGGACCAGATCTGGCCCGCCACATCCTTTTAGGTGGCCCGCGAAAGCAAGTCAAACATGTCAACTTCTATGTTGCTTGCTAAAATCTCGACCCAAATGAAAAATTCTCGCAGGTAATAAAGAAGAGACATATTGGAAGCATTTTCTTGTAACCAAACCCCTCATTCCAGTAACTTAAACAATAGTTGAATAAACCATTATTCTTGACTTTTTTTAATTTGGTTTCAGTCATAACGGCTCTCCAAGGGAAATTGTAAATAAAATGTGGCCCATGACAAAAATGAGTTTGACACCCCTGATATATGCTCTGGCCAACCGATCAGAAGACAGAATAATGCTGTTATCTTAAAAGTTATGATAATATATAATATGAAATCCGATTGGTCAAAATAAAACTCTCATCGCCATCACTATACTGATTCTCAGAGCACATAGAGGCTGAAATCTGATTGGACAAAGAACATTCGCTGAGACCTGACGGGAGGGGTCACCTCTAGCTTCCATCACACATTGTCAACAGATGTTTTACTATGCCCAGTGGGCATGTATTACAGTTTCATCCGCAGAACGTGAACAAAGAACTGAACAGCATGTAGCGTTTTTGTTCCTCGCGTAGACTTAACCACCATTGTGTCCTAAACGGTTTGAAAGGAGCTTATGCAGTCTTCTCCATAAATTCAAGAGATTGTAACTGCAGGATAAAAGGAGCCAAGTCAATTCATGTACATGTTTAAAATTTAAAAAAAATAATAAAACAACAAAAAACAAAACAATAACACATGGCTGTGTTCGAATAGGTACAAAAACAAACAGGGTCTGATCATTAGGTGCGGCAATGCTCTTACAAAATGCTACACTGATAATTGACGCTAACTCATATGTGGTTGTCCTGGCTGGTCTAATAAATGTTATGGATCACTGGAAAGGTTCCTGGGTTGTCATGGCAACGGCAGAGTTGCTACTCCAGTGTACCATCGACACGGTTTCAAAGCAATTTTTTTCAAGTCAGATTATTTCATAGATCTATACACAGTCAAAATGCAATTTGGGGAAAAACAAGACAAATAATCCTTGTCATTTATATTTTATTGGTATATATATTTATGTATTTATTCATTACATAGTTTTTAAAATAATTGTATAATTAATCATTTGTCAGAATTTTATTCTGCCAAATTTTGGAATTTGCACCAGCCTCCCAAAAAACTAAAAAATAAAAATTCATATCGGTCGAGCCTTAGTTTTGACCTTGTGATTTATCATATGTACACATATGCACAGTATTTACAAAGGGATAAACCATAAAGTGCCACTTTACCTAGCGCAACATTTCAATTTCATGCCAGCGCTGCTGTGAGTTTGAGCCGTGAAACCAATTACGGCCAACCTGGCACATCGTCTTTTTCCCACTTGCCGATCAACAGGCGCGGCGGCTATTTTTACCTGAGCATAAAAGCGGAAACTGTTTTCACACTCCGCCAGCTGGAACTTGGCTTTTCAGTACGGAAATATATTTTGTGCCCCGAGGAGGAGCAGCAGCAGCAGAGAACAATAAACAAAGATTAAATCTTTCAATTAAATCGTTTAAGATGTTATCTGTTGTTCTTATTGCTTTCCTTAATACAGTGCGGACCATTTGCAGCTCCTCCGAATTGTTTGGGATCGTCGAGACTCAGCTGGTGTCAATCATTCTGGGAATGTTGAGAGGGTCAGCGTAGTGTGACCTCGCCATCTGCGCGCACGTCAATGGCAATTATGCGGAGGAGCATATCAGCGTGCCACAGATGATATGGATGAAGATTTAACGTGTTCATTGGGAAGAATGGCAAATGTAAAAATTGCTGAGAGAGGGAAAAGCCTCACTTGACCACACGGTTGATACTGTTGCACTCCAGAGTTGTGGATTGCAAGCGCATGAAAAAGGTTGCAGAAACTGTCACACATAAGGGCATCTTTTGGATCTGGTGCCTCACTGCCCAGCTTGGCCTCAAAGTGAAATGTAACAACACAAAAGGGAAAATAGAGTTGTTGAGTCAAATACTCATCTGGGCCAGGAGAGATGGGCGTGAATCAATACCAGTAATAAGTATCGGGGTGATATCGGCCTTATTTTAAAGGGTTAAGATGCTCATGCTTCCATGACATATATCAAACCTGGGATACATGAGAGAAAATGGGGAAAAAAAAATTACATTGGTTCACTGGAACCATATCGTGCAAATCTGGACTAAGTTGACACTTCATACTGGTTGGTCAGCCAGATCAAATTTGGGGTAATCGCCAGTTCAAAAAAAATGTGACCTCAGAAGAACTGTTATGAGAAATTAATATCCTGTAAATACTTCACAGAAAAAAATCTATTGTTTCCAGTGATCAGAACGGTGCCGCCCCTGCTTAATTTGAGCCAGGAAAAACTCCGTCGCATCATGTCAAATTTGATTGAATTCCTTCCTGTTTGTTTTATCTGGCATCCCCGGCACAATCGGGACGCGTGAGGCAGCAACCTGTGTCGTTTAAGAGATGCTGGCGTCGCCGGCGAGGATGGCCGGGGTCACCCGCCCTCCGCTTGACAAATGAAGCAAGTCATTGTGAGACAAAAGGGAAGGCGTGCTGAATAAAAGCTCGGCGGCGCATTTGGAAGCGGCACACTGCCGTTTGGAGACTTTTTCACATTGACACCAACGCCGGAGGCACATAAAGGAAGTCTTAAGGCTTCGTGTATGCGCAGACACACACACACACACACACACACACACACACACACACACACACACACACACACACACACACACACACACACACACGCACACACACACACACACACACACACACACACACACACACACACGGGAAGCTCCTCCCTTTCTCGTAATCCCCTGGGACCCCACGTCTTTGCAAAAAAAGAAAAAAAGCTGGGTCTGACATGAGCCTTTGCCTCACCCCATTAAATGCCACATGCGCGCACACGCACGCACACACACACACACACACACACACACACACACACACACACACACACACACACACACACACACACACACACACACACAAACACACACAAACACTTATGTTCATGCATACAATTTCCTCGAAGGGAAAGTATGGGGGCCCCAGGGCAGGCAGGTGCTGGGACAGCAGAGTGATGACTTTGTGTATTTGCATTTGTGTTTTGTGGTCATCGGGGTTTGTCCACCGTCTGTCAGCTGGACTGTGTTCCGCTCTCTTGTGATTAAAACCAAAGTGGCCTGGCTGATGTGTGTCTGTGCCACCGTCACTGCATGACCAGGGTCAATTCCCTACAGTGCGTGTGTGTCCCCCCCCCCCCCACACGACTGGTCGCTGCAGGAGTTTGCTTTGACAAAAGCCAAAGCCTCCGGTTTTGCTTTTTGGCAAGCTGGCAGGCTTTTCAAAAAGGATATAAAGCGAGCAGCACGAGGCACGATTTGAATCTAAAAATACATTTGGCTAATGAGCCTGCACGAAAACGGAGCTGACGGGAAGCGAGAGCGTCCAGTCTCGACCAGCTGAGACCCAAACACTTTTGAGAAAGAAGTCAAACTACACCGCTTGGCAAACAGTGCAAACTTCAAAGGTCAACTCGATCCATGTTTTGGGGTAACATGTTCTTCGAAAGTTACTTCGTAGCGCAAACCACAATTAGCAGATCTTGTGAAGCCTTGGCATCCCTCAATTCAGCGAGCATTAAAGTGACATACATGACTTGATATCAAAAGTCTCTTTTACGCGACTCCCCCCCCCCCCCTTAATCAACACCTCAGGATGCTGGCCACCTCTGCTAAAATTGCCAACATCCACAGTTGAACAGATCCTTAATATTATTAATGTTTAATGAATATAATAAATGTCGTATTTAGTTCTGTTTTTAGTGCTTTCTCGGGGGGGGGGGATAGAAGATATCACTTAAAACACAGATGTCAAACTCAAGGCCCGGGGGATCAGATCTGGCCCGCTATGTCGTTTGCGAAAGCAGATCATGTAAATCAACTTTCATGATCCTTTCTATAATCTGTACCGAAATGTCAAATTGTCATGTGTAATAAATAACATTGAGATTTTCCAATCATTTTCTGACCCTGTTTACACTCACTTGAACAATAACTGAACAAACAACAAACAAATATTTGGCTGATTCCAAAATGAAGAATCCATCAATTTGTTGTGTACAAGTAATAATACTATGTGATTACTAAACATTAATTCGGCCCTCCAAGGGAAGACGTAACTCCAAAGCAACCCGCGACAAAAATTAGTTTGACACCCCTAACTTAAACCATTACTTTAGGAATGGAATGATATACTGTACCTGTAACAGGTGGGTCTCGAACATACAGTATCTCCTTCATATGTATTCAACTATATATATTCCGACTATTAGCTTAATAGCTAGCACTGTTTGGATCCTTCTGGCCAATAATTATTCCAAACAACTGAAACGGCGGCAATAGTGAGAAGCATTTCTTGGCAAATGTGGAGAAAAAAAAAAAGGTCACAGAAAATGAACACAATTGGATGATGCAAGCAAGAGTTGAGAAATTTTGCGGTACATACCTTGTCAAATAGTTCCTTCCATTTCTGGGAAAAGAGAAGGAGAAGAGGGGAATTTAGACATGAGGCTTGAGTACCTATTTGGAAAGGATGATCCTAAAAATACTATCCTAAACATGCTGTGTGCACTGGGCTATTACCTAATCATTGTGTTCACTGAGCTGCAGCCGAAGATAATATGAAAGCGTATGACAACAAGGAGCCGCTCTCATTTGTGCGAGTATTGCCTCCTTCTCCCAAAACTACATGACGTCATTAGCGGCTCTTTCCATTGTTCTGGAACACATTCAAGTGCTTTAAATCCACATTCAAAAGCCAATTTGAACTAAAACTGTAACTGGAGAATGTTAAGTGATGCCTTAGATTTTAGAGCGTGTCGGTGGGAATATTTTAGAATATTTTTGCCATTCACACATCTAGAAAATCAGTGGGGAAAAGTAGGGAACTGTCCAAAAATGTATTGATAAGTGGATATCTATCGATCGATCAATCGGTCGATCGATAGATATAGGGCGGCCCGGTGATGGACTGGTTAGCACGTCGGCCTCACAGTTCAAAGGTGCAGGGTTTGATTCCAGCTCTGGCCTCCCTGTGTGGAGTTTGCATGTTGTGTGGGTTTTCTCCGGGTACTCCGGTTTCCCCCCACATTCCAAAAACATGCATGACAGGCTCATTGAACACTCAAAAATTGTCCCTAGGTGTGAATGTAAGCGCGGATGTTTTTTTTTTTGTCTATGTGTGCCCTGCGATTAGCTGGCAACCAGTTGAGGGTGTCCCCCGCCTACTGCCCGAAGACACCTGGGATAGGCTCCAGCAAGCCCATGAGAGGATAAGCGGATCAGGGAATGGATGGATATATCTATATAACAAATATACAGTAAGTGCACGGTGACTTGATAAAAGGAACATGTTCCAATACTTTTGCCCGCCAATAAAGTTATCCCCCTACTCACGTCTTCGGGAGCCACGGGAAGGACTTCGGTGCTCTCCAACACTTCGATTTCCTCTCCCTCCGCATTGGCCGCTACCGCCGGGGAGGAGGTGACCGTCAGCTCCCGGTTGCCGCCCGCCATCCTCCTCGGTCAGCCGCGGTACCTCACCGATGACTCCGCATGGCTTTATATTCTCCCCTCCACTGTGGCTCCTTCCTCGGCGTCACTTTCACTTGACCACCATCGTCGCGAGGTGAGTTGCAGTGATGAAAGAAAATAGCGGAGAAGAGGCTACTTCAAGATTCGCTGAAGGAAAAGTTGATAAATCCGCCGACTCAGATGAAAATGATTGATAAAGGAGAGGAGAGAAAACTAGGATAATCCCAGACAGGAGAGAAGGCGGCAAGCGTCCAAGTTTGGGAAGCAGCCAGGATGCTGCGCAACAGCAGCAAGGGAGTCGAGGACTCTAGAAAAAAAAATAGTAATAAAATGAAATGACATCATCGCTTAGTAACAGGAACGAATCCCATCTAATATTAGTTGAGTTCAAGACGTTTTTAAGAAGGTTGATGCAGCAAACACTCAAGCTTTCTTTTTTAAAGTGCGTCACAGTACCTTTTTCCACGCCTGCACGATTATTTGGAACGTTTGTTCTCTCCACCTCGTGGATCGGTGATGGGAGGTGTTTGCTCGCCCGGCGTACTCCGCCGCCGCCGCCGCCGCCACCTGGTTTAGCTCCAGGAGGCTCCGGAGCTCCGTCCGCGGCGGGAGAAGGGAGGGGATGGGGAAAAGCTCTTCCCCTCCCCGCACGACCTCCTTCCCTCCTCCCCTTTCAGCAGCTGACTGTCACTCACACGCTCCGTTGAAGTCATTTGGTCCTTTTGTTGATGATCAATATTGTTGTACTGAATTGTGAATTTAATGGAATACGTTTTTATTTGGGGGCGGGGGGTCATCAAAACTACAGTAGATTTTCAGTCGTATTTTACGAACTCTTTAATTGCCCATTTGTCTTTTACAAACGGTTTTACCAAGTACTGTACATATTTGATCTTATCTTTCACAAAAAAAAGTTAATTGTATCTTCCGCCATCCAGTGGACCACTTAATTGTTGTGCCTGCCACTATACGCCGGTGGCTTAGATCGGGGATGGGCAACTTAAATGCTCAGTGCTAAATGGCATATAAAAAAAGGGAAAGGGCCACACTTCGAAGTGATTTTAATTTGCCCTTCTACCCTCGAGGGTGTTTTCGGAAAAGAAAGTTAATGATCGGTGCCTTTTCAGACAAGCAACCCATAAATTAGCTGGAGACATCCGATATGCGTAACAGTGGGGTGGAATTGTGTGTGTGAGGATGCACGGAGAATATCACAAAGATGAGCTCTGCGGTGTGTGAGTTCATTAAGACCATCAAAGTAACCGCAACACTATGTGTTTGTCGTGATGAGGGAATTTGTGGGTGTGTTGGCTGCACGTGTGAGGGTTGCAAAACCTAACATCAGATTTAATGAGGAGAACCTGAAAATGTGCTAAACCGCAACATTATGTGTTTGTCGTGATGAGAGAATTTGTGGGTGTGTTAGCCGCATGTGTGAGGGTTGCAAAACAGATTTAATGAGGAGAACCTGAAAATGTGCTAAATTGCAGGTTAGTCCAAGAGGGAATTTAACATTAACATCAGTCCAAGTCTGTACATTGGTGGTTTAAGTGGAATTTTTTTTCTGCGCAATGCTGCTACCTGGTGTTCGGGGAAAAACACTACATCATACTGAGATTTTGATTAATTAGAATTTATTTTGACTACAGTACCTTATGTAGGTACACAAGGGGTTAAAACAGTTCTCTCGACAATGCAAAACACCATCGCAAACTGGAACCACAATAATGATGAACAAATTACTGAATGAATCACTGTCTGATTGCAGCACAGGTATTGGATTTCATTTCAAATGTTATCTGCAGCCTTTGCTGACACCCAGTCTTTGGTGAACCACGTTTTGAGCTCTCAAGTAGGAGGAATTAATCAGTTGTACAGAAACATTCAGACATGTCAAACCAGATGATTGGTATTTATTGTGATTTTTCCAAATGGTGGTGCCTGTGAAATACTGTTCATCCAATCGTAACATATGGCAAGCAGTTGTACATTACAGACTGACGTTGAATCTTCCGCTACAAGACATTCGGTGGAGATTTCGAAAAAGGTCATGGGGAGAAACAAAGATGTTTTCATTTTCAGCTACACAGCACATACTAATTATGGCGAGTAATGGATGGAATGTGGTCAGAAATGATAAAATGTGTTTTGCAGCATGACTAAATTGTGCAGGTCACATGTCCCCATTCACACACTTGGCCATAAAAAGGCAAAAACAATAAATAAATCAATACTATCGATGCTTAAGTATCATGTCAGCCAGTCTGAAGGACAAGCACAGAGTTATTTACAGTATGTACACTATCACTAATTAAAATATTGCATCTCTCGCCCGGCTTGACAAGTGCAGTCAACGGGCCAACCAAAAAAAAAAAAAACATTATGGAACACACCCGTATACAATTTAATACGCTTCAATCAGCAGCAGCTTCTTATATTCCTCCGATATAAATATATGTTTTCTTTCTGCACACATGCACAATAAGCAAAATTACACTTTGAAGTAGAAAATTAAATATTGCAACTTTTTTTTTTTTTTTTTTAGCACAATAAATATCAGTGCATCTCAAGTCAGAAATTTGGTACCTGTGTTGATGCACTGGATGGACAAAAGGATTGGGACACGTTGCAATTTCACCCACATGCAGTAATATTAAAGGAAATGATGAAGAAAGGCTCTCTTTGCAGATTTAAGCGCTTCAATTCTTCTGGGATTCTTTTTAGAAGATTTTGGAGAGCATGTTGATGGACGGTGCTCATTTGTGATGGAGTTCTTTTAAACCGAACCCATCCAACACCGTCTTTATTAATGTGGCTTGAAAAGAGAGGGCCTCTCAACAAGATGGAGGCATAAAGTTAAACGAAATATCTTGTTAATACGGAAGACATAATCCGGAAAAATTGACTTTTTATTGTTTGTCTTTTTGCTGGCCCCTAAAATTGATTTCAGCAAGACAGGAAATGCAGTGTACAAAGTGGCCTATGAGACTATTTGGGGGTATTTCACCGAAAGTCACAGACATGTGAAAACACCTGAAAACCGTTTTAAAACGAACATGATGTCTCCTTTAAGACTTTCATATGGTCGATCACACCCATAGCTGAATGACTGTCCCAATACTTTTGTCCATATAGTATGTATCGTACAAGAAAGGGTTGTGGGTAGTCATGAGAGGCATCACCGTGGTTTGAGCAGAACTCTGTACATTGCGAAGCCCAGCACAGCAAACACGGTGGCGCCGACACTTGCTCTCAGCCAGAAGGCAGAACTCTTCAGGTCCGCTTGGCTCATGTGTCTGTGACAAAGACAGCGAAAAAGGGCATCGGAATTTATGATGTCATCATCACACCCTTCAAAGAATTGCTATCGAGGTGTATGAACAAAGGGGGATGTGCAAAATAGGATGAAATGGAGAAAAATGTCCATCAGTGACATGTCAAGGATGAAAGATGGTGATGAAGTGGCCCATAAAAAAAAAAAAGATGAAAAAGAATGAAGGACACTCAGTTGATGGCTCACCAAATGAATAAAAAGGCTATCAACCTAAAGACAACAAAGGGAAGAGTCAAAATAGAAACGCTTTAAACAACATGCGGGCCAGGGAATGCAAGGAAACGGTTTCGTTAAAAAATAATTTAAGAAAAGAATAAATAATATGGAAGAAGAGGACAAGTGAAAGAGAATGTGATGGCTGGAGTTTAAATTCTGTGCATACTATGGTCGTGTCATGAAATTACCAGAATTAAGTCAAAATCATCGTTTCAAGAATGTTTCTGTGTGCGACCTTCAACATTCCCTCATTAAAATGACATGAAGATGCCAATTAATATTTTTGACAATTTAAAAAAAAAAAAGGATCTAGCCTTACCTTTTCTCATATTCGTTTGTTCATAACATTACTAGTTTTTACAACTTAGTCAAGACTACATTCAATTAGTACTCACACATTTCTGCTTTATTCTTATTCCAATTCGGTTCTTGTAACATTCCATCTTTACCGTCATATCATGACTGCCTTCGTGTGCCTTGAATCAGGAAATATTAAAACTTTATTTCGACTTCTATTCTTGTTCAACTTGGTTATCAGATTTCCATTTAATTGGAGAAAATCCCGTTCAGATGTCCATCACTGTCCAAACCTCATGAGATTGCGTGATCATTACATTTTGTTCCTTTGGACCCAGAACGAATATCTGAATACATTTCTACCATCTCCTTAGCCGAGATCCAAAATGCTTAATGTAACGTTTAAGATTTGTTGGCAGCTCTCCTCTGAAGGAACTTGCTTGGAAATGTGGAAGTGAAAGTCAAGTTACACAAAAACATCCGGATGAGTAGAGAGAAGATCTTGGACTAGGACCTGCGGAGAACCACAGCGTGGAGTTTGGCCCTGACCGTCTGCAGCAGCTCGGAGTTGAGCAGGTTCTGACACAAGCAGAAGGTGCAGCGGTTACAAGTGCACATGCAGCGCAGTCGTGCGTGGCTGAGGAGAAAGACACACATACAGACACGCACACACGCCAGATGAAGAAGCCTTTAAAAGATGCCATCCTCTAGAAATGCGCTCAGAGTTGCCACCACAACAGAAATGTGATTGTTGATGCTCCCCCTGCAGGCTTCGAAGCCTCTGCGGGGATCGAACTCTGTGCTTGAGTGGAGGAAATGCAACAGTGCCTGCCAGGCCGCAGGGCAGCCAAGCGCGCTGATGCATCAAGTCGAGTGAGTGACGCAGCAAAGTGGTGAAACATACATCACGACAGGCCCTAATACACAATCTTTGTCCGACACCGGATGTGCACACAAGAGCAAGATGTTGAATGTTAAGCGACTTTGTGTGTGTGTGTGTGTGTGGGGGGGGGGGGGTGCCAGGCCGCAGGGCAGCCAAGCGCGCTGATGCATCAAGTCGAGTGAGTGACGCAGCAAAGTGGTGAAACATACATCACGACAGGCCCTAATACACAATCTTTGTCCGACTCCGGATGTGCACACAAGAGCAAGATGTTGAATGTTAAGCGACTTTGTGTGTGTGTGTGAAGAAGTAAGGAAAGTGAAGGGAAGAAAGGATTGAAAGAAGGAAGGAATGATTGAAGAGTTGAAAGTGAAGGATTGAAGGAAGGTTAGAACCAGGAATGGAACAAAGAAAAAAGGAGGAAAGCAAAACATTGGAAGAAATGTATGAGAGATGGGAAGGAATGAAAAAAAAACAAGAAAGGATGGGAGTAAAAAGGAAAGATGACTGGAAGGAAGATGAAAGAAAACTTGCAAAGAAAGGAGGGAAGATGAATGAAAATGAAAGGAAGGAGGGAAACTAGACAATAGAACAGAAGAAAGAGAGGAATGAAAGAAGGAAGAAAAGGTAGGAAGGTGATTCTTATAGGAGATGTTTTTTCCTCATGTGGTGCGAGGGAGAATGTAATTACGTAACTGCAGAGAGCTCCAGGAATTTAGGAGTCAGGAATTAATAGGGGAGCTTCATTTGTGCAAATGCATTTTTACAAAACACTGCATACAAATGTTGAGAAAATCCTTAATTTGTTTTGTACTTTTGTCAAAACGTCAACCATCTTTTACTTCAAACTCCACCTTAAACATCAGCTTTTACAGACGCCGTGTCAGTTGTGTCGTCGATGTGCTTGGCAGTAATAACGTCTCCTGCGGCACAAGGCGGTGTCGCTGACACGAAAGGTAATTACTGCCCACTAGTGGCATCGCGGTGCTGCGTTTATTCAGTCACGACCTGATTCCTTTGCTTCAGCTGCCTGTGAGAAGGAAATAGATAATCGCGCGATGACATGGGCATACTTACGGGTACATGGCCATAGTGCTGAGTTTGGTGTAGATGTCTCTACTAGGCGGCCCCGCTGTGTTACAAGTGAACGATTGCGGAGGAGGCATTTTGTGCCTCCGACAGAACTCCAGAGGACTGCAGCCGTAGAACTGTTTCGTCTCGGGCAGGTCCGACTTGGCCGCTATCATCATGCACGGGATCTTGCAGTCCATGAAGTATTGCTGTGAAAGCAAGGGTGACATGCCTGTTTAGATGCTATTCAATTCAGGGATTTTCTGTTCTTTTTTTAAAAGAGCCGTTAGCATGGGAATTGTACCTTGAAGACTTTAGCGCAATAATCGAAGGAGTACGGGTTGCTGATGTCATACACCAAGCAGACGATGTCACAGGTCAGGTCGGCGTCAGACAGGTAGTCCAAGTCAGGGAACACTTCATGAAGCTGAGAAGAACAAAAAAATAAAATAAAATACTGACTTTGGTCTTATTTGTCTACAGCAGGGGTGGGCAAAAGATTGCACGGGGACCAAATATTGCTCGATTCATTCTTTTAAAAGCACAGCAACACAGATGAGATTTAGCTTTAGCAATGAAGCTAGCAAAGGGAAAGGCTAAGCTATATGGTTGGTTTAGTTTAAACTTTGAATAGGAGTGGCAATAAACAGCTTGAATCCGCTTTTTGTGATGAATTCTTCACTATTTGAGAAAGGGCTGCTTGATATGAAGTGAGATGAGTTCACACCATACAGTGATTGTATCTCAAGTCTGAGCTCACAAGTTAAAAAATAAATAAAATGGCCTAACAACAGTGTTTAGGCCAAAAAAAAAAAAAAACTCCTAAGCGGAGTCACTCGTCTCAGAAGGCAACACTGTATCTATTATCAACAAATAACTTTGCCCGTCTGTCCATTTAAAAATAAAATGCGGCTCTTGATCACAAATTTCGTCCACCTACGGTCACAGGTTGTAGGTAAAAGCCGTTGCCACCTTTACGGAAATGGAAAATATGAAGACAGACATCAATCTTAGCGAGACACTTACAAGAAGGTATTTCTCCTGACCATAAACGAAGGTCGTGCTGATGGCGTAGTAGGATTTATGTTCTTCTTTGATCATTTGCTGGTGCTGAAAATAAATAAATAAATAAATAAAATCATATAAAGTTTGGGAAGTGGAGCCACAGTGACAAATAGCTTATTGACTTATTTTTCAGGGCTGACACATTTTGTGGTTTTTGAATTGAATTGAATTGAATTGAATACAACTTTATTGTCAAATGTGCTGTACAGCACAGATGAAATTTCTTCCCTCTCAACATAAAACAAGAGGAGCCGCTGCGGGTGTCCGCGCCGCCATCAAAAG